TTTGTGTATCTGTATTAAAATAAGTCTTTAAATAAATAATAAACCATCAATTTTTTCAATTTTCAACTTTACATAATAGTATAAAAAACAGTACACTTTGATAAAATCTGAAACAGCAACCATAATCATAGTATCTTTCATCCATCCTTTATTCCTTATCGATAATGTATGGTCATATGCGTCTTCAAATTAGACTTTTGGTGAAAACTAACAGGACATTGAGAACACTTAAACAATTTTTCTTTTCCGCATTCGTATTTTCGATGTCGATACCAACTCGGATAATGCTTATAATTTCTAAAACACTGGGGACATTGATATAACAATGCGTTGGAGGTCTGTAAAGGGTCAACTTGGGTCCTCCTATTTGCAGATTGCGGAGATAGAGGTAATCCGAGTAGAAATTGATCTGAAAAGAGAAAAAAATGAAATTAGTTAAAAATGATTTTACATATTGATATTGACTGTAGTTTTTGCACATGCTAAATGCAACTTAAAACCTCCTGAAATATTTTAAATTTATTCTAATGTTCCACACGTCCATAAGCAATAAGTAAAATTAACTCAATAAAATTCGAGTAAATTTTCTATGGAAATTTTTAATTAATTTTCATATCATGTTTTTACAATTTATAAGTTAAATATATAACTTTCTTAATAAATATGTTATAATTCACTTCATTTGTTTGTTATGATTCACATACAATTTTTTAATAATAATTTAACCCTTTCGTGTTTTCCACAGGAGTGTCGCTGCTATACGGAACAACGTGTTCAACAAATATATATTTTAAGATATTCTTATCATTATCAATAAAAATATTAGAAAAATTAGAATTACCAATTGTTTAATTCATACTGAGAAATCTTGAAGCAAAAACCGACATGCTGCATGTCGTCTATGGGCGATTCAAGCAGTAGAGTGAATGTCGTCCATGGACGACTCATAGCAATCAATTTTCGAGCAAAGAGCGACATGCATGTCGTCCATAAACGACTCATAGTGATAAATTTTCGAGGAAAGACCGACACGCTGCATGCCGTCTATGGAGGACACAGGTAGTAGTGTGAATGTCGTCGACTCATAGTGATGATTCTTGAAGCAAAGACCGACACGCTGTATGTCGTCTATGAACGACACTGGTAGTAAAATGAATGATGATTCTTGAAGCAAAGACCAACATGTTGCATGTCGTCCATGAACAACACTCGTAACGTAAGGGTTAAGTATTAATAAATACAATAGTTTCTAGCACTATATTTAAACAAGGCTAATATTTATAATAAATACAAGACTTATTACTATTGAGTTTTATAGTATTTTGAGTGAAATTGATATAATACAAAAATTAATTTATATCAATGACACATTTAAATTAGAGCACACACACACACATATATATATATATATATATATATATATTTTTGAATATTCTTGAATTTGATGTTGATATATATGTTTAATTTGAGTTTAATATTCGGGCGTAACATCAATAAAAATAAAAATAATATTTTTATTGATGTTACGCCCGAATATTAAACTCAAATTAAACATATATATATATATATATATATATATATATAATTTCTTTTTCCAGATGATGTAAGATATATATAGAGAACAAAAGTGCTCTATCCAGATATTAGAAGGAAAACTAAATTATGATAAAAAAATTAATAGGCTACCATACGTTTCGAATCATAATTTGACCTATCTTCAGTGGATAAAACAACAAAAATGCTGTAATAAATAAATTAATATTCACAATAATATTTATTATATCATTTTTAGTCGATTGATACTTTTAATCAGTGTCAATGTATGACTCGAAAGGTTTGGAAGTTTATTAAAAAAAAAAATATTAACTTAGTTTTATTTCTAATATCTGAAAGGATACTAGTTCAAACTGTTTGTTCTCTCACACAAATTACATAAACAGAGTTTGTTAAAATTAAGTCACACAATTAAAACACTATAATATGACAAATTATACTATTAAATGCTTGGCAGAGTAGGCAAATCACAATATAAAACTAAAGTATTACGTTTATTAAGTATTTGTACGGAAATTTCAGTTCATGCTTTGCATTTCATGGCAATTATTTATAAAATCAATATACATTCATTTTTACAACATATATCGAAAGAATATAGAGTAAAAAAATCGTTTGGTAAATAGAAAAAAAATTCTATTATTGTACAAGATAATAAATACCTTCGACTATACTAAATACGACTCTACTCTTTGGTTCATTATAAGTACATATATAATAATCTTAAATCTAAAATTCAAGAGACCTTTACCAACATATTCATGTACTAATTTGCTCTTTTCCAATAAGCAAGAACATCCAATTATTTTCTTACATTTTTAAATTACATCACACGCGAAAACGACATTTCATTTTACATTTCATATACATAAATTAAATTATATTTTAATATTTTTAAGATTTGTTTTAACATATTTTTTAAGGATGCCTGGTCACCGAATGGCTATTCAGATGATGTTTGTAATAAGTTCGGTAAGGGCAACGATCACATTTTAATTGAGGTTGTTTTCCACATTCAAATCTCATATGACGTTGCATATTGCTTTTGTATTTATAAAATTTTCCGCAAATTCCGCACTTGAAGGGACATTCTTCTTGCCGGTTCGGATAATATTCATTTCTGAAGTTTGGTAACATGTATTCCATATTTCCTAAAACAAAGAAAAATAAGTAAATTGTTCCATTAATTAGGCATTAGTGTAAAGTATTAGGGTACTAATCATATAAAGAATTTGCTGTTTTATCAAAAATCATATAAATTGATATTTTTTATACTACAATTCTCTACATTCTAGAGTATCTAATAAATAATTTAACTAAACGGCAAATTATATAAAAAGTCACAAAAAAAATAGCCTATGTTTAGAAGAAAATAATTTTTCTCTATTTTCTTATAATCTGTAATTGTGTTTTATGGTTTTGAATAAATTGAATGTGATATGTACTATATCTAAAAAAATACAACGGTCTCCATATCAATTTCAAAATAATGTTAAGTAATATAATTTTTTAAATTACACTGATCTGAATTTATTGATTTTGAACCAGAACCTTTCGAATGTTCCCACGAATCCTTACACGTTTTTCTTTTCAATATTAGCAATAATAAGTCGATATTTTCAGTGGTTAGATGTTCATTTAAAAATATGAACAAACATCACTCTTTTATTTGCACTAATTTATTATAATACGATAATAAATAAATAAATAAATAAAATAATAATAACAATAATAATAATTCACACACTAACAACGATTTACAATTATTTTAAACAAACCGTTTCCTATCAAAAAATATTTTTTCTCCTAGCGACATCTATTTTTCAACTGGGCCCTATTCCTTCTCATCCCTATTTGATATTTTATGACTCACCTAGTTGACCTTGGATAGAAAATTCAGGCTCCGACGATCGTTGGCATTGCAGTAGAAGCAACGACTTGTAACGGATAACACATAATGCTATTTCAGATTTCCATATTTTAGATTTTAAATTATAACACACTGATGATAAGACAAATCTAGTCTCAAAAACGTTTGTAAAATTAATATTGTTTAATAAATTAATGCAAATAAAAGAGTGCTGTTTGCTCATATTTCTAAAATTAATTAATTTATATATATATATATATATATATATATATATATATATATAAAAATACATTAAATATTTATATTTAGGTTAAAAATAAATCATTATAACATATACTTTATTCAAAATACTATCTACATAATATATTACTTACAATCAAATGTTAAAAATATATATACTTTTGTACAATCAAGTAAGTACTGCAATGAGTCTCTCTATAGTGACAATTACACAAAAAATTAGTTATAAATTATTCTGAATGAAAGTGATGTTTTTGTTTTAGAACTTTACTTTTTACGATATACAAAAATTTAATTGTATTTATATAGTCATCACAATTTTTTTTCTCATTATAATGTCATTTATAGCCTTTCATTTTTATAAAATAAAATATATATCAAATTAAATAACAATGATTTGGAGAGATCTTCGCCTAATTTCATCTCCATGAAAATTTAGTCCAGGTCATATTGAGCTCAATTAACATTATTTTTTATTATGCATTTAAATAAAAAACATAATCTTTTATATATAAATAAATAGAGAGTTGCACGTCAATGATAAAATATGTAATTGCAATTAATCACCATAAGCTCCGATATAACATAGGTTGCAGTTGGATCATATAAATATCGAAAGTGTGATGTTTCAAGGAGGATTGATTTCTCCAATAAACATTAGATGAGTTTATAAAAGCTATTGTATAATTTTCTCTATTTCATGATAATAAAGAAGAGAAAATCCCAAAAGCTTGTACCCAAAAAGTGAACTATCAAAGCTATTTAATTTGTATGATTAATTGGTTTCGTAGAATAAACAATTAGAAACTAGAATTAGAAATAATTATAAATTTCAATTTTGTGTATTCTGAGCCAAATTTTTATTCAAATTCTCCCTCTCATGCATCCTTTTCATATGTACCACCATATTACTCCTATGATAAGTCCAATGATCGCAATAATCACATTTATTAGTTGGCAATTTTCCGCATTCATATTTCTTGTGTCTAAACAAACAACTACGTGTTTTGTAAGATTTGTTGCATTGCATACAAATATATAACTTTCTATTAACGTCATCAGTTCTTATAGTAATTTGACAAATATGTTTAGAAAATTCTTCAGGATTTGGAAGAAAAGTCAAACATTTGTCGCAGTATGTGCCAGGATTCGTTTGTAAAGAGGTAAACCATCGCTGGGAAGGACCTGAAATGAAAAATGTTCATAGTTAGTAAAATATAATATATATTAATGATTTGACGATGGGTGCAAAAAATCATGTTAAATTAATGCCTACTTGTGCAGGTAAGATATAAGACTCAAGCTGTTAGAAATCTATATGATATTTTTTCTTACCATTTCAGATTTCATTTACATTCTCATGATTTAAACATAAATTAGTTCAAGAATTATATTAGTAAAAAGCTAGTAATGCCTGTCAATTCCTATATGTCGCTGTCTTAAATCTTCTAAGCTTATTTGTAGTCTAGTAGTTAGAAGTAAATCGCCTATAAAGATTCTAGTGTGTTTAAATAATTCGGTATAGTCTACATTTAAAGTTATATTCTCAATTTTTTTCAGAATAGTAGATGGATCTTTAAAATAGTAAATGAACTTTATTATAAGACTAACATAAATGATATAATTATATAAATAAAAGTATATTATAAATTAAAAATGTTGATAAATTATTTCAGCTTCTTAATTAAGACTTTATTTTCTAATTTGAACTTATAAACAACTACAAAATATATACAGATATAGTATACACAATAACATTATCAAATAAATATTTATAGAATGATTTTAAAAGTAATATATTTGTTAACGAAGTTTTCAAAGTGATTTACTTGATTACTTAATTTATATTATATAAATTACTATTACCAAATACTTATTCTTTTCCATTTGACCTCGGTCAAATTTATAATGAAATGCAATACAATTTAAAACTACATTTTTTATACAAATATCGATATACTTTGTTTCAACACGAAACATATATAAAAATTATATTTATACAAGAAAAAAATAAATATTAACACTTTACATTTGGTTTGGTGCTTCTAGAACACTAAATATTTGTCACTATTCACCAGTTAATTTTTTTTAAACATTTATTTAGCAATCAGAAATACATAAAGATTGCTATGATCTAAATTTACAATATTTGAGAGTTCAACCAGTTCGAATTTAAAAATAATTTGAGGAGTGAAAATTTTTATAAACTAATTAAATACACAATTTTGCAATTTATTTATGGAAATTTTCTCTAGCTAGGACGCCTAAGTAAATTTGCATACTTAGTAATCTAAATGTACACAATAAATTATTAATAATAATAATAATTACTTAACTATTTTCTTATGAATAATTTCTTATAAATAATAATTACGTTTCTTCAAAATTCATCAGGAAAATTGATGACTTTAATCAAGTGGCGATTTTCTCTTCAGTCAACGACGATAGTTTTCTATTAGTAAGAAGTTTGCTAGTGAATTTGGATGACTTGTTTCTATATTTAGGCGCTGTTTTTTGCTTTTAATCCAACATTTTACTTTCACCAAATTTATTTTTTATGGCAGGAATTTTATTTTTTGGGACAAGAGTTTTTCCTGTGTCTAATCAGATGATGTTTGTGGTGCGTCCTATAACTGCAGTGATCGCATTTCAAATGAGGCGGTTTTCCACATTCGAATCGCATGTGACGTCGCATATTTCCTTTGTGCATGTAACATTTTCCACATAAGTGACATCTATAAGGGTGACCATCTTGCTGATTTGTTACATCAAATCCATAATTATAATCTATAGAAAATCCGAGGTCGCCTGAAGTGAAAAATAATTGATTAGTAAAAAATAAATGTGATGTTTCTATCAACTCATTAATATAATGAATAAACTTTACTTAATTATATAATGACAATAATGAACACGATCAAAACTACATATAAATTAGGGCGGGAAAAATTTTTTACCCATCAGGGTACAACGCAAAACTTGTTCTAGGGGTAATTTTATTTTAATAATTTTCTTCATGTACAAATACTATATTTATTGTCTTATCTAATACGGATGCCAAAAATAAATTTTATGTTACATTTTTAATTAAAATTCATAAATTTGGATTACTTAAACCAATAACTTCATAACGATACAACCAGACACCAAACTATATTTTAGAGCGGGAAATTATTTTATTATTAGGGCACATCATAATTCTGATTTTAAAATATATTTCAAGAAATATTGACGAAGAAATCTTAGCATGGAAGTGAATTTGGAGCCAGCGAATTTTTAAAATAATTTTTCCTTCATATATTTATTTTAAATGCTACCTTACAAAAGTCTGAAAATCTATATTCAATACTGCTTTTACAAAGGTCTCACATGTACTGGACTGGGAATTTATTTGAATAATGTGTAATTACAGAGTTAATAGTCAAAACAAGCCTCCAAAAATATTATAGGCCTATCAATTCTATAATCATGCGAAGATTCAGCAAATTCCCAGATGATATTTCAACATATGAAGAAGGAACTTTATTGGAAAATTTGTTGCCTCGAAATTCACTCCCGAGCTATGGTTTCTTCGGAAAAGTTTCTTGAAATAACCCATATAGACATACTCGCAATAAGACCCTGTGTATTTTTTCGACAGCATACAACTTGACCCGCCCTAATATTTATATACAATGTATATACGAATACAAATATTTATATATTTTTACAGTTTATAAAAGCTTTTAAGGTCTAAAATCAACAGTTGAATTTAATGGTCACATTCTAAATTACAAATGGATAAATGGACTTTTGTAATCCCTTTGCATTTTATTAATTATTTACAAACCTTTTACATTTTATTAAGTCCAAAATAAACATTATTACATTATTAACAACAATAACTCTAAAATTCACATTGTAAACCTTTATAAATTCAAAGAGCCTAAAGTAAATATTGTCATGATTTTAAGTACAGTTAACTAGCAAGAGTTTTTCTAGAATTAATAACTTCATCACTTATATATATATATATATATATATATATATATATATATATAATAGGGTGGTCCTTAATATAGACAATTTCTAATTTTCTTGTTCGCAAGGGCTCAAATGGTTCCATACTGATAAAAAATAATTCTCTGAAAGTTTTAGCTCTTAATATTAACTTTTAGATAGCAATTCAATCAAACTTTGTATGGAAATAGTATTAAAAAAATTTTGAAAATAAAAAAATATTAGGTATAACTTAGCGGCAAAATAAAAACTCATTCATTTGTTCACTAAATTATATCTAAAAACATTTTTAAAATTTTTGAAAAATTTTTCATGCTTATAAAACTTTGATTGAATTGCGCACTATCTAAAAAACAATATTAAGAGCTAAAACTTTGAGAGAATTGTTTTTTATCAATTTGGAACCATTTGAGCTCTTAGGGGCAAGACAATTCAAAAATGTCCATACTAAGGACCACCCCAATAAATATATATATATATATATATATATATATATATATATTATAAATAAAACAAAATAATTTTTGAATTTTAAGACACACGATATTTTATCATTTTCTAACTTTGCCTACAGTATTTAATTTTAGGTAACAATTTCAGTCGATAAATTTTTACATTACTAAATATTCATTCTCTTAGATATGTTTATTCTGATATAAAATTATATTTATAAATAATAATATAAACCAAAATAATATCTTACAACATTAAAGTAAGTTAGGTTAAAAATAGCAAATCAATTTTATTGCTTCAGAGATTCACAAAAATTTGGATCAGCAGAGACTAGCATATGTCGTCAAATAAATAAAAACAAAAATCACACAATTAAGTTTTATTTTCTTAAAATCACATAATTTCAATTTTTTCTTCATGAATGTTTTCTTTTAATATGCTGTTGCATATTTCCTTTATGGTATGTCATGTAGTCACATAAATCACATTTGAAAGCGGGCAATTTTCCACATTCATATTTCATATGACGATAGACACAACTGCGAGATTTGTAAGTTTTTCCGCATTTTGGACAAGAAAAAACTATATCTTCCAATTTTTCTGATAATTGTGTTACCTTGCAAATATGATGATTCTTTTCATATGAATTCAAAAAGAATTGGTTGCATTTAGTACAAAGTGTAGTGGATGGTGAAGAGTACCAATTCGTGGTAGTATCTGAAACATAAAATATTTTAATTGGTCAGTTAATGGTAAATAGACCCAAAATTAATTAATAAATGTATAAAATATTATGTAAGTATATTTCACAAAATATAAATAAAATATATCGCTTGTATTTTTTTTATAAAATACTTTTATCTGTTAGTTAAAATGGTGATATTTTTATGCCAAGATCTCATGTAGTTGACGTCTAATATATAATATAAAAAATTTAAATTATTCAATTATGCAGTTGTATTTGTTGCAAATTTACTTGGAAGCTTCAAATTAAAATCGATGTTGATCAGATAGTAAATAACATTTTTTCAACTACCCATATAACTATTGTAAGATTTTCGTGAATGTTCAAAATATTTTAAAACAGTAAACTTTATTTTTTGCCTAAATATAAAACTTAAAGAAAAATTACAATATATGAAGACATATTATTAATTTCATTTTATTTTATAATAATTTAAATAAAAACTATATTTTTGCATGAATTTGCTTATATTCCATTATACATTTATTCCAAATATATTTCAAAAAATAATTTTTTAACACTTTAACCCTTTCGCTATGAGCGTCACCTACAGGCGTCATCCACTACTTATGTGTGCGAGTGTCGTCTATAGACGACATTCTATATCCGGTATACTTCACAATTATCAATAATTCTAATTTGTTATTGTGATTTTTAGTTCTTTAAAAATTATCAAAAACGTGTGCGGGTTGCTGGCTCGTATAGCAGTGACGCGAAAAATAACGCCGCAGCAAAAAGGTTAAAAAAATATTAAAATGTAATATAATTATAAAAATCTGATTATTTACATAAGTAGTTCCTACAATATAAAATAACAAAATCATATTAGCAAATAATTTTTCGCAGGCTTATAATATTTTGATGTTTTTTATATATTCTGTGTCTTTTGTAAATAAACGAACATGATATAAAATTTATACAGTTTTATAAAAGACCTAAACAATCTAAAGCAATGCCATATTATTTAAATCTTACATTATTTTACCCAATAATTTCTGTCATTATAAATTGATGATAGTTTTGTCGACGTTGATACATATTTGAAGTATTTTGCAGACCAATCGTCGAATTAAAAAAAGATTAAAATAGAATTGTTTTTATTATATTAAACGTTTTGACACTTAATGTGCACATATTGCCCTCCTATATTTTATGTTATTAATAGCGGTGCATTGTGAGCACTGATCAAGGTTACAGAGCAAGTGTAGTGATGGAGTGAGTGATTTTACATCATAATTAATTCTTTTGTTGTTTTTCCTGGTTTAATTACTGAATGATGACACACATCAAGTGTCGAAACGTTTAATGGAATCAAAAAAATCTATTTTATTCTTCTTTTAATTCGACGATTGGGCTGCAAAATACTTCAAATATATATATATATATATATATATATATATATATCTCTTAATATATATATCATCCCATAATATTAGACTTACATAGAATAAACTTATAATTAGTTTGGTATGAAAAGAACCAATATGGACTAAATTTTTTAATCCACGTTAATATCATTCGCATAAAAATGGTTGTGGAGAAATATATTTAATATTAAAAATAAATCCTATATTGTAAAAATAATGAGGAAGAAACTAAATATTATATATACATATGATTTCATTAAACTATTATATTAAATTTATTTTCAACATTGGTTTAGTTAAAAAGTTTCTTCCAACAGACAATTTGAATTGCTTATTGTCATAGCCTAAGTTCACTGTCGTCGTTTTCTTGTCCCTTTGCCAAAAAGTTTTTTTTAAATACACCCAAGTTAAACTAAAACTTAACCGATTTGTTCTGCACTATTTTATGTTTCCTAAACAAATGCTTGTCTAAATAATCATTTCTCCTGAAATGTCTTGAACATATCATGCACGAAAACTGAGGAGCTTTTCCACATTCGTATTTCAAATGTCTGACTAAAGTTTGTTGATATTTATAAGTCCTAGAACATCTATGACATCGGTAAACTCCTTGCTGATCTAATGAATTTCTACTATCGGCAGAAAAAATGATATCAGATTTAAGACCCAATGCAGAATGGTTGTCCATGAATTCTTGGTAGTTCCAATCTGAAACCATAAATTGTTTCGTTAGTAAAAAAAAATTGTTTTTTTAAAATTCATGCAATTTTAATGTGATACATTTTGGCATATTAGTATTAAAGTGTAAACCAGCAAAAAAAATTAGTATCGTTAAAATGTTACATGAGAATTTGTGGAAAATGCCGATAAATTATGATTTTCAATGTCCTCAGTTTCGAAAAGTAAAAATGATTGTTGATGAAAACCTGAATCACATATGATATGAATTACATAATCATTGATATTAACTAAATTAATATTAAACAATTATGCTAATAATTAGTCAAAAAAGAGTTAAAAAATTGATACTGACTTCTATGTATGCAAACTTTCATACAAGATATTCTCTTGGTGCATCCACATAAGGACCATAAATAATTTGTCTACAATTAGTAATATTTATTAAACAACATATGCGAATCATATCAAAAATTATAAAATAATAGTATAAAAACTAATTGAAAAATTATAATAAATACAGTATTTTATAATAATATTGACGTGTTCCATATTATTAATTTTCCCAGAAATTCTATGACTCGTTATGAAGAAACTTCTCTCTTTAGAAGGCTACCTAAACAGTTGCATCTATAATTTGGTGCAACATTTTAAGAAGGGCTGTTCTCACTTATATATATTTTAAAACTATATTTTCAAATAAAAACGTATATCAATACTGCTTGATGTCAGCCGGGCTTAGGTGGGTATCAATCAAACCGATAACCATGTGGTTGCAAGGCCAAAGCTCTTACCATAGAGCTACAAAGAAGCATCAAAATATTTAAGCAAAAATGCACTGCAAAGTACCTGAAAATTACAATTTTAAATTAATATTAAAAAAATCATTTATATTTTAATTATTGCTTACTTTTATACGGCGTCTCCATTCACAGACACTATTTAGTTCAAATTAAAATATGACTTAATATTTATATAATATTTATTGTAAAACATAAATAAAACTACGTGTTCATCAATATTATAAATTATTTGAGAATAGTACTTCTTTTTATTATACCAATAACCCATTTAAATTTTATACAAAATTGGAGATTAGGGTTTCATATTTTATAACAAATAAATAATATAATGTTTGAAATGAAAATATTACATGATATTTTTGAGGTAGTATATTTTCAAATCAATTATAAATTTTAACATTAACATTAGTAAACTTTAGATAAAAATTGGAAATGTATAACATAACATTGAGAATAATTCATGGAACAAGATAATCTATTCTATAAAATTAAGTCGAGTTTTCCTTCCTGACGATATAACTCCAGAACGCACGAACCGATTTCGACGATTTTGCATTCGTTGGAATGGTCTCGGACTCCGTGAGGTTTATAGCAAAGAAAATTGAAGAAAGATTCCAACAGAAAAGCGAAAAACACTTTCTTTGTTCACATACAGTGTCATCTCTGATACTTAGCATGTACTACAAACTAATATTTTTTGTTTGACTGCTACTCATTTGTTTGACAGCTACTCATTGTTTTCTGCTCAGTTAATTTCATGCGACAAACCGATATTGTGTTCACTGTGAAATTGTGCAAAAAAGTAAAAAAATAAAACAAGTTATTCGTTTCCTAACATTTCAATTGGAAACCATCAAATCAATCACGTGTATTGTGCAAATTTTCATTCAATTTCAACAGCAGGTAATTTTTTTCTTGGTCTTTTAAGCACCAAACGAAATGTTATATAAAATGAAACCATCTGGTGGTGAAACGGAGTTCGCCCGGTTTGCTAGTAGTTAATAAGAAACTTGTATTTTAACAATTTATTTAATCGTTGTTTGATCTCCGGTTATTTATTTTGAGGTTCTCGAATATTGCAAACACAGAGCTCGACGCCATACAAAAATATTTGTTTTAACCGTTTCCACTCGGATGCCGCCGCTCCGGCGGAAAAATTCATATAAATCTCGGAATTCGCGAATGGAAAGGGTTAATTTATATATAACTTATATAATTAATGCAGATCAGTTTAATCCCGTATTATTCTTCTACCAAGTTTGGATCTATGTTTTCCATGTCTGGTCAAATGACGTTGTAAACTATACTTTCGATAACTTGTAAAATCACATAAAGTACATTTGAATCTTGGTTCAAGTCCACATTCATAGTCTCGATGTCTAACTAGATTCTTATTATGTTTATACATTCTTCCACAAACATCACACTCATGAGTTTTCTGGGTGATCCTCATTGTTTGGAATGGATAGAACAGGTTATCTGGAAAAGAGAAACAAATTAGTAAAAAAAAAATACATTAAATTAGTTCTTGAATTAGTAGGTGATTAAATTGGGCCGGACAATGGATTTGAAATTTCTGGTATAAAAATTAATTTCACAAAATTTCCACAACGAGAAAAACCAATCCAAAATCCATGATGTTCAGAACAACTGATGACATCCTATTATACCAAGTCTTGGATAATATTTCCTTAAAAAAAATAAAATTTATTAATCCTACATCAACTTGCTTTGCAATAAAATATTGTTGATACATTTATCATATTTTATTATCAAATTAATTGAAATATTACAACTTTCATATATTTATATAAGGTACTTATAATGTATATATTATTGTTTTGGTTACTGCTCACATAATTATCAAGTACATATTTTATATGATTAAATTTGATTTTAAAGAACATTTGATCCATAATTATTAACATACATATCTAATGAGGAAAAATCATTACCATCCCAATTTAATATTTTAAAAATATATTTTCTAATAATTGTTTATGACATCTAATTATGATCATAAATATGTATGTATATATATTTATATATAAAATATTGTAATAAAATATAAATATTTATATATTGAAAATAAGCTTTTAAATTTATTGGATGTAAATAATTACAGTAAGCCTATATATTTTTCACTCTAAGTTTGTAGTATATACAGTTGGCAATAAAAAAGCAATTATTTTGAAACTGTAAATACTACTTATTGAAAAAAATATATTATTGAATCTAGAAATATTACAACAAATTATATAAAAAATAGTCGACATAAAAATATATTCTACTATATATTGTTAGCTTATATAACTCTATAACTAATTTTATTTTGAATTGAACCACTTGAAAATCTAGCAATAACAATATCTCTTTATTCTAATCTTTTTTAATTTGAAGTACAATTTTAGTAAATCTATAAAATAATTATATTCAAAAAAACTTTAAATTCAAAATGTATAAAATACATGTTTTTGATTTTGGATACATTATAAAAAAATATAATTTTGAAAAGATGAATGTATCGATATTTCTATAAAACTAAAACTATTTAAGAAATTTAATATATTAAGGAGCTTGTTTAAAACATATAACATCATATTTTTTCATTTTTTAGGACATTTTCATAATTAATGTATTTATTTATTATATATAATTAGTACACTTTATACATTTGGCAGTTTTCTCAACGCTATCTGTATTAAATAATATTTAATAAACATTATATTATCTCTAATATATATGTTGCACTTATACAAAATTTGTTATATAATGTAAGGTCTACCTGACAACAGAATAAAATCTATAAAATTTTAATCATTTTCCAATTTTTATTAAATCAGTCTAGTTTAGAGTAATATTTACCTGTATAAGTAAAGCTTATAGTTTCATTTAATTAAAACTTTTTGCAAGAAAAACTTCATTATACAAATTTCATTATATTATTAAAAAATAATTTCTATGTTAAATTTATTAGCTAGAACTCGTCGTGAGCTAGCACAAACTATTCCAAAGCTTGACCCCAAATCTGCCTACTCGATATCAAGCAGTATGATATCAAATTTGCATTTGAGGTTATAGATTTCAAATATAAACATAATTGTAAAACAAAACTTCATTACATGCAAAAATAATTTGTATTTGAACACTTTCCACTCGCAAATTCCCAGATTTATATGAATTTTGCCGCGGCATCCGAGTGGAAAAAGGTTAAATTTATTAGCTAAAGCTCATCGTAGGTTAGCACACTAATCCCGAGATTGACCCCATATATGTCTGCTCGATATCCAGCAGTATGATGTCAAATTTCCATTTGAGGTTATCTCTAAGATATTCTGAAGTAAAAATTACTATTAGATATACAGATCTGATATACATAAAAGAGAAAAAGCTGACCGCTGGGTTGCCCTCCCGAGAAAAATACTAGTATGATATCGAACTTCCATTTGAGATTATGGATCTCAAATATAATTTATGCTTTTTGTGGGCATTGCTGCAACACATATATATGACAACACTATCGATTAGAAATAGAAGAGTGGTTGACCATTGGGTTGCCCTCCCGGAAAAAATAGGGTTATGGATCTCAAATAGCGTTGTTAAAAAAACATTAGTAAGGACAGACTCTTATAACTTTTATTAATGAATAATGTTTAATTAATAGGAGAAATTAGATTTCGAAGACCCCAAATCTTCCTGCCTTATACCAAGCAGTATGATATCAAATTTTCATTTGAGGTTATGGGTCTCTAAGATAATTTCAAATAAAAATCACTATTAGATATACGGATCTGATATACACAAAAAAGAAAAGGTTGACCGCTGGGTTGCCCTCCCGAGAAAAATACTAGTATGATATCAAACTTCCATTTGAGGCTATGGATCTCAAATATAATTTGTGAATTTTGTGGGCATTGCTGCAACACATATATACGGCAACACTATTAGATTAGATATAGAAGAGTGGTTGAATATTGGGTTGCCCTCCCGGAAAAAATACTGATCGATATCAAGCAGTAGGATATCAGATTTCCATTTGAGGTTATGGATCTCAAATATAATCTCAAGTGAAAATCGCTTTTTGTGGGCTTTGCTGCAACACATATATACGACAACACAATTAGATATACATATCTAATATATTATATATAGTCTACAGTCTACATGGAGAGTGGTTGACCACTGGGTTGTTCTTTCATGAAAAATAATAGGTTAGGATGTAAAATAGCAAGCAAAAGTTATAGAACAAGTAATTCTCATAGCTAAGACCATAATGGGAGCATTTGGATTTAAATATAAAATATAGCATTTAAAAAGTTTATGGGGTGTTGATAAAATATGCACACTTCATTCATAATATACTTTAAAAAATTTTTTTCATCAAAATTATCAACTCACATTCATAAACGATTAATCTCTTCATCTATAAAAACAATAAAATTCTCATGACCTGATATTATTTTTTTTAAATTCTTTCCTCCCTGGTCTTATCATGCTTATTTTTCATATGTTGTCTTAGATTATCTTTGCGTCTGCATCGATAATTGCAAATCGAACAGCAAAATCTTGGTTCGACTCCACATTCATATTTCATATGACGATACCAACAAGTTCTGCTCTTGTAAACTTTTGGACATTTCAGACATGGAAATGAAAATGCATCGGCCTCATCACCTTCAATTTTTACTTCAACACATTCATGGTAACGCAGCATCAGGGAATTGCTGTATTCAGCACCACAACTTAGACAACATAGAGATTCTTCACCTAAAACAAAAAATATGGGATGTTAGATACATGCATTTAGGTTTAAACATAAATTTTATTCAGCATAAAACCAATGATGATTAAAAATACAATTTTATGATATACGTCCATGGGAATGATGATGAACCAACAACCCAATAAATGGAGAAATGTGAGCCTTACAATTATGCTTAATTGATCATAAACTACACCCAAATGAGCAACATGTAATTCTAAATATATACAAAAGAAATACTTACTTTTAAGATCCTGGTCTATATACAAAGTCATATTACTCATGAATTAATCCATAATTTGGTTAAAAAGAATCTAATCTAACAATTAAACATAAAAGATTTTTTTTATTATGTTTCCTGCAAATTATAGGGAATTATTTTATTAATTTACCAAAAGAGAAGATTGTTTATTATTATTGCCACAAAATCTGTTTTTTATGATTTTCTAGTAAAACAAATCTCGATTCGATCAAATGGCCATTCGATTTTATGTAAACTAAGTAATATATCACTGGAATATCATACTTATTTAAATGTACATTTAGCTCATAGAAATTTTTTTGTATTTCTGATTGCTGAAATAAAGTGAAATAAAAAAAAAGATTTTTTTAAATTTTTATTGGAGAGCCAAAATGTGACCTTCTGTCGACGTTTTCTCAAAACGGCTTCACCAATTTAAACGCCATTTTTATGTAACTAGAAAAGAACTCGCTTTTAGTAGATCTTCGTGATGATCGGTCAAGCCGCTTCTTTTAAATAGCATAATCGTGCAAAATTTTAAAAAATTCAAATCATTTGAACGCTTTCAGATAGGGATCATGCTGATTCGTTTGGCAAGATCATCAGGCAGTTTCTACTTTCCTTTATTTAATTATTGGAAACTACTATTTGACGAATTTGTTGAAATTTATATGGGTCTAAAAAAAGTGGTCAACCTATTGTATCATCGCAATTTAAGAAGATGCTAAATCATATACTTATAAGTTCATGCAAGATTCCTTAAAGCAAAATGCCACTTTCATATTAAGAATGGTTAAGGTACAAATTTATCATTGCTAGAATTTTCATGAATAAGTACAGGAAAACATCAAATACTATTTATGATTTAAAAATATCAAGTTACATATACCACAAAATACAGGGTGCGCCATTTATATGTGGTCAATGAAATGTTGAATAACTTGAACAATTTTCAATAAATTTTGATACACATTTTTATTATCAAATTAAAAGCCTTACAATTTTTCCTTAACAATTTGATAATAAAAAAAGTTTATCAAAATTCCTTC